TGATTTTGAGTCCCCTGAATGATTTTATGTTCAATTGTAGAACTGTATGAATGTTATTTGTATTTAAGAGGAAGATTAAAATGAAACTTTCCCATGAATTGTCTTGTGAGGCTCGAAAATCGACTTGATATATCATTTTTGGAAGATAGTGTCAAGTTAAACCTGTCACTTAGAACATTCATTTCAACAGGATTTCCATGACTTTCTGTGTAAAATGAGGCAGAAAAATACAACTATCCTGAATTTTATGATCTGTAAATGAACGAGTAAACAATACTTGGAGTTTGGACAAAGTTAGACCAGTCCAGAACTCCCGAGAGAGTCTACTTTCAGACTAAATATAGCACATCTCAATTGGGGAAATGCTCTAAAAAATGTCTGATTGCAAGCTGTTTTGAACCCTATTCCTCTCATTTTTTTTTTTATTTTCCTTCTCCAACCCACCATAGTCCTCTCTCCCCTATATTCTTGTTAAAATATACATTTGTCACGCTTGATATTTGGGTTGCTTTTCCTTACACTATAACAGCTAATGAATTATCTAACAATATAGTTAATTTAAGCCTAGAAGCTGAAATTTAACTTATATCCCCTGAATTATAAGAGAGTTTGTTCCTTGCAATCAATATCTGTAGTCTGTGAAACAATAGTATCCATACTTTGGACGTGCGAGTAACATAGCGGATATTGGAATGGGAAGTAGAATCACTGGGCTAGTCTATTGCATTCACTCTCGCACTAATGATCTTGGGACAGGCATGAATCCATTTCTCCCCAAACTAGGGGTTAAATATCTAAGTGTGGGGGGCAACCAGTTTAAGAGAATGAAAACTGAATTCCAAACAGTTGGGAAACTACTCCATTATCTTTCCAAAAAATGCAATTCACAAATGAAGAAAAGAATTCTGTGAAGAATTATGATTGTCTACATCGTGAAGGGACATGGCATTTAAAAAGAAAATATTTCTGCTATTAACACAGTGTTGATAGAAGAAACGGTAAGGAAACTACAAGAACTCCTGTAGAAAGTATAAAGGAAAATGAGGAGAAAGAACTAGACATCTATTGCAAGAAGACACAATGCATGGTTGTCAACAAAAGGAACAGCCCAACATGCAGATTGGACACTATTTACATTATTTGGACTATTGTACTCATCTTTGTCGCCATATTTATGTAATAAATTGGGCACCTCAAGGTGGTGTAATGGTTAGCAAGCTTGTCTTGGTAGCACAATTACGACTGAGTAGTGAGTTCGATCCTCACTGGGTTCCCCATACTTTCGGCCATGTGCCACATCTGAGCTACGCTTGGAAAATCACTATTTATGTAATAAATATGGTGACAAAGATGAGGACAATAGTCCGAATAATGTAAATAGTGTACATAATACCTCATCTCAGAAATATAGACAGATGCAAATTGGAGATAGCGAAATCAGACAGGTGCAACAATTTAGATATCTGGGAAGTGTATTGACAGCGGGACAGAAAGTGTGACACAGAAATCCAAAGGTGCATTGGGATAGTGAAAGATGCCTTCCAAAAGCTGAGCAAAGCATTAAGAAAGTGAAAAATAACATTAGAATCAAAGAAATGAGTACAGAACTGTTATGTAATATCATTCCGCCTATATGGCAGTAAATGCTGGACAATCTCCTCATCAATGAGGACATGTGAGCAACAACAAAGTTCTAAAGACAATGACAACAAAAAGGACACTTCTGTTTAGCACCAGGATCAGGCACATAATGAGGAAGGAGGGCTTGGAAAATTTGATGCTCACAGGACAAATTGAAGGTAAGCAAGACAAAGAAAAGCAACACACAACCTACTTGGCAAGCTTGAGTGAATAGATGGCAAAGCAGGGTTTGGGAGAGATAGCAAAAAGACAAGAGTTATTAAGAGCTACAAAGGGCAGGAAATTGTGGAGAGCCATGATTGCCAATCTCTGGAAGGGGCACAGCACATAGAAGATACTAAAGCTAAAATAGTCTATTCTCTTTAGACTTTAGTTACTTTTAATTTCTTCTCCTCAAGGTAATGAGGATATTGTCAACTTTATATAAGAGTTTTTGTTCTTAAACATTAATTAGCCAGTGCTTTCTCTTCTGGCTTCAGCTTGAAAAAATAAAAAGAATAAAAAAGATATCTTAATTTACAATATACAAAATTACATTTCTTTTTAAAACCTTGCCATTTCTCTGTCTGAATTTCTAGGATGAAGAATTAGCATTATATACATGCATACTATTGTTCTTATCTTTGTTGTAACAACAAAAATGAGTCTGCATGTAAATAACGTTTTGCATGTTATTTAAAGCCAGAAAATATTTTTACATTATTCGGACTATTGTCATCATCTTTGTCGCCATATTTATTACAACGTTTTGACCGTTGTACCTCCGGCCTTCTTTCAGGTGGTTGGAATTTCAACTGAACCCTTTATTTGGCTCACTGGGGTAGACTGTTCTAGTTCCATGTGCCATGTTTAATGGATGTCAGTTATCAGTTATCTCCTGTTAATTTCCCTCTGAAAGTTCTCCACTGCCTTAACCGGCTGAAACGTTGTAATAAATATGGCGACAAAGATGAGGACAATAGTCCGAATAATGTAAATAATGTAAATAATACCTCATCTCAGAAATATAGACAGATACAAAATATTTTTAGTTTGTAAAAATTTTTTTGGAGATAATAATGACTTAGACCAGGGGTCAGCAACCTTTGGCTATGTGCCAACTTAGGGTTTTAAAATCATTCAGTGTACCAACAGCAGATGTATTTTTATACAAGTCAAAGTCAATATACTTGTTCTACAATATATTTTATATAGTAATATATAGCATATCTACTTTAGTATATATTAAAATTGAAACAGCTAAACGTCTTTTGTGTTGTAGTAGTTATTGGTTTGGATGTTATTTGCGGCTGCATGCCATTGTTTGTTATGCCACATGTGTCACATGTGCTGTAGGTTGCCCATCCCCCTGGTTTAGACCACCCTCTAGACTTCTGGGGTTATTGGCCCTTGTTTGATGGCGTTCCTTTGGAGGATTGGCGTGATTGTGTCTTGATTAAGGAATGATTAAGTGGCTCTTGCAGCGTGTCTCACTGGCGATGGTTCAAGGTAATGCTTTCTCCATCATTGCAGCTGGCAGAGGATAGAAAAAAAAAATGTTTGTAGTTACTTTGTTCAAACTTTTTTTTCAGTAAATATATTTCTCTATTTTAAAAAATTCTTAAAGTAACTGCCTTAAGCAATAAAGAATTCTAGATTTAATTAGTAATTTAATTAGTAAGTTTCATGTCTGTTTTGGTTTAATTAACTACTAATTTTTAGAAAGAGGGTTGTCTAAAATTAAAAATCTGCTAGCCCTAAGATTACCAACAAGGTAAATTAAGCAAAAAAGAAAGCGTTACAATCAATAAAGAAAATTTATGCAGTAACGGGTTTTGTTATTATTATTGATTCATTCATTCATTCATTTTTTATAGCTTATTAACCCATTACAGGTTATTTAAAGTCAGAAAATATTTTTAGGCTGTAAGAATTTTTTTTGGAGATAATAATGATTTACTGATACAAGTCCTACTAATTAATCCATAGCTGGGGGGAGAAATAGTGGATCCATACTCTTCCCAGGGGTATTTTCACATTAAGTGAATATAACAGACCTGACTGGAACTAGAACTCATCTCTCTAATTTCTAATTCCATGCCATTGTCTATTACACCACCCATGCATCCAAGCTTACAGCACCTTGTATTCCCAAGCTGTCATCCATCTAGGCACTGATAAGGTTCAATGTTTCTTAATTTCAGTGGTCATACAATGATCAGTGTTTCAATGTAATATTGCTTCTCAATTTTTTTTTTTTTGTTTTGGTGGAACCCCATACATATTCGATGAAAAAAAAAAAAAGCTTATTTTATTTTTTATTAACAGATAAGTTTAGAAATTGTATTATAGAAATAGTAAATGTTTATACTTTATTGAAGTAAAACTAATTAAATGAAAATAAACTTATATTAACAACTAAATTATGTACACTAATAAAGAAACACATAATAAACCATTTTAAAAATAAGTGAGTAATTAATAAAGTAAAAAAATAGTTTAGATTTATTTACTGAGATCCCTGTGGTTGATGCTACTCTTCAAATTTCTTTTATATTTGGCTCCATTGATGTCAATGATATTTGAAGATGACCCCTTTTCACAATGTTGTGTCCATTACTATATTAATTAATTTATATTAATATTTTATGTTATTAATATTTAAAATTAATATTATTATTTATTATTAATACATTAAATTAATTTATATGATAAATTATATTCTTTTATATAATTTTCCTTTATATATAATCCTTCTTTTATATATCCTTCTCAGTTTTTATTCAACTTTTTACAATCAAAACATCCGCAGAGTAAAAGGGACAATAACTTACATCACTTCATGTCGTTTTCTGCTAGTCATTTTTCTAATTTTAGTATTTTAATATGGCAGAGATTACTGTAGAAATTCCAATTCTCAGTTGTTACAAAAGTGAAATTGCTCTATGGCCCACTAAAATATTACTGTGGAGCTCCAATTTGACTCCCAGGGTCCATATGAACCTCAGTTGAGAACCACTGGTTTAAACTATTTATTTTTTTTTAAACGGCTAAGACAACTCACATTATATTTTGGAAAAAAATAAAATAGTTCTCTTTGAAACCTGAAAGGGAATTAACAAATCCCCCATCTGTTTGCTCAAAATAAATTTGAAAACGGAAAATATGAGAATGTATTGATTAATATATTTATTAAATAGCCACCCGGAACAGCCATGATGTGGGTATATTGGGATGATTCAGTTTGTTTATTTTTTTTTTGTTTTTTTTTAATATTTACAAAAACAGAATGAGTCATCTATCACTTTATATATTTCCTTTGTAGATGTATGCATGTGTAAGCAGATTAAGTGCTTGTTTTTTTTCTCCGTTATTTTTCATCATAGTTCACTAGAGGAAAATAAAGCGTGATCTTCCTCCTCCTCCTCCTCATCATCATCATCAATACCACTGTGAAATTCGTCCGAAACATCACCCTGAGAATGCAAGAATGAACGAATCATCTTATAGTCCGTTCCATGATTGGAACCCTCACATTCTTTGTTGTCTAATTCCTCACTGCCTGAAGACGATTCTTCAGAATGGCCCTCGAGCCGAGAGGAGTCCTGAGAAGATGGCTTTGACACCTGATGACCTGAAAGCCTGCCTAGAGGCTTACTTACCTGTGGCGGGGACCCAGTTGCAGACAACTGCAGGCCTGAAGAATCAGGATCTTTACAGCTCTGTACATTTGACTCATCGCTTGAAGATTCGTCAAATAAGTTGTCCTGAGAAAAGCAATTTGCAGCAGAATCTGCTTGATATGATGAATGAACAGAATCTTTGGGAGCCACAGTGGGGCTATCAGGGTCTGGTTTCTCAGGTGAATTGGTTTTCTTAGTCCTGCCAATAGAGAGTTCAGTTAAAGTATCATTTAGGGCAGATTCTTTCAATGCTGGTGAATTCTGTTCATGCTTTAATTCTGAGCTTGTTTGTGTATGACAATGATCACCTTGATTACTCGATTCAGAATCACCACAATCACTAGACGAGCCACTCTGACTTGATGATGCACTTGGCATTGACACCTGTTTCATACTGGGAATTTTAGAAGAGGAGTCCTGAACAGCTTCATCAACCCAGGATGAGGGCTTGAGACGTTTGAAGGTCATCTTAAGCGAGCTCTTTTTGTTTGAAGACAGGTTAAGAGAAGAATATTCGTATAGTCTCTCAGCCTTATTGTCACTGCTACTGGGTGATAAAAGAGACGAGGACACCATTTGCCGCTTGGCCTCAAGTGCTGATGACACAGTATGTTCAGGCTGCTGGGGATGCTGTGCTTGATTCTTGTCAAAAAATGACATCAAATTAGACGAAGAGTCTGAACCTGAATAGTCATCGTCGTCTTCATCATCATCATCGTCATCATCATTGTCAACATCTGACTTTTTGTCGTAGTCTTTGTTACCCATATCTATCAGCAGTTTTCCTTGGGTAGTGCTAGGGATTGGGGATTGAGCCTGGTAATTGTTGTAGGTACCTGAATTGGGGGTTTTCTCTCCTTGCTGAAGAGAAGGTGAAGGGCTTCTGCTGCTCCTCATACTTTCCCTCTGTGAAGGAATAATGTTCGACTGAGAGTTTAAGGCAAATACATCCGAGATGAGTGACTGGATGTCACTGTCAGTACAAATAGCCTCCTCTCGTGCCTTTCTTTCAGAGGACGTAAGAGACAAGGCAGCTGTTTTTGGAACAGAAGAAACAGTGCTGGCAGTGGTTGGGACAGCTGTAAAAGAGCTGAAGAGAGAAGAGATTTCAGAGGTAGTGGTAATATTGGTAGTTGTGGAAGTTGTATTGAATACAGCTTTTTCAGAACTCAGTTTTACAGCAAAGTCAGTAGAGATTGAAAGAGAAGCAGCAGCAGCAAGAGTGCTCAATGAAGATGACGACGATGACTGCCAGGTTTCTGTGGCTGTACTGTACAGAGGCAGCAGATTTGTCTTTTTAAGATCACTATTATCGGCAGTTTCAGATAGTTTTGCAACTGATGTGCTACAAATTGTACTGAGGGTATCTAGCAAAGTTGTTGATAAAGCCTCTTTGTTGCTACATGGATTTTCATGATGTGATGAAGACTGTTCTTCAGCAGCCTCCTCCTTCTGTTCCTGAGGCGTCCAGTTATTTTGAGTGTCTACTGGATGTGTACTTGACATTGGCATTGTAATGTCATGGTCATCAAATGCTATTTGTAATGGCAGAGGTTGGAAACTGGCCAGGGAAGTTGATGGACCAGGTTCAAGTGGGGTGGTTAGTGACATACTGAACGGCTTAAGCTCGTGGGTTATGGGTGCATGGTCAGTGACTGATATTGTAGAGGAGAAACTACTATTGCTTTCACTGGACATAAGAGCCGATTCAAAAACCGAACTGAAAATGTTCAAGCCATTTGAATTTGAAGGTAACTTGGAGTCATTGGCAGAGTCTAAGGTAACTGTAGCTGCTGGTTTATGAGTATCTGGAGTGACTCTGTCAACCTCTCCAATAAAAGGACAGAAATCTCCAGCATTCTTACCGCTGTACCGACAATCTGGATTTGCAGGTGGAGAAGGTTGTTCAGCAGACAGTGACAGGGGGAGCCATTTTGAGGAGTCTAAAGCACAGGATGAGAGGCCAATCTGGGAGGCACTGGTCAAGGTTGTGGAAGTGCTGCTATTGGCCTGCATGCAATCCGGTTTGCTGGTTGAGGGAGAGGAAGGAGAATTTGGCCGCACATCCATCAAGTCAGGAATCATGAGTTTAAGATCGGGGTCATTTATCTCATCCAAGGTGCCACAAGTTGATACAGGCACGCTTATGGTTTTTGTTAGTCTCTCATCATCATGCCTTACTTTCTCTCCCACAATGTCCAAGCCAACTTGACAGTCGTTGCCTTCAGAGGGTATAACTACATCTGCTCCTATTGTTTCTGCATCAATAATGGGAGATGAAGGACAGCTTCCTAGTGGTGACATGGGGTAAGCCCTTTCTTTAAATGAACGAGAACAAGTAGCTGTTGAGGATGCAGTGGGACGCAAGCTGTTGGAGTATTTTTGGAAACTCTCCAAATAGGACCCTTCTCCATGGACAGTAGCAATGATGCGAACATCATCAGTGCTGGGACTAGTGGGAATACGCTTCAAATGGGAATTCTTATAGCCAGAATGGTGCTTCTTATATGTAGATGCTGGGGGTGGAGAGATAGGCATTACATCTGAGCCACTGGCAAAATTACTATCAGAGACTGAGCCACAAGCAGACGAGGATACTTTTGAGGAGTGTTTGCTCCGGTGATGCTTCCTGTGTTTATGTTTTTTGTGTTTCTTGTGGTTCCTGCGCTGGCGTTTGCAGGCTATAATCTCCACACTAGAGGACCGTGACCTTGCTCGAGACGGATGCCTCAAGGGACTTGTCGGTGTGTAACTATTGCGGTGTTTTCGACGTGATCTTGTGTGTGAGTAGCTCTCATAGTCACATGCACTGCTGGAATGTTCGGTCAGTGTACGACGTGGGTGACTGCCAACTCGGTAGACATTGCTATAGGACAGAGGACAAAAAATGGATCTTTGGGAAATATGCAGCTGTAGGGATGAGGAAGAGGAAGTTGGAGAGTCATCACGGTGACGCTGACGACGAGACCTCCTCTCCTTGGTAGAATAGCTTGAACTACTATTCTTCCTTTTGGAATGGCGGGAACGTGATGCTGACCGGGATTTGGACCTTGACCGAGATGATATCCGCTTGTTAAACACAGTTGTTTCAAAGGAAGACGTGGTTGATGAACGTAAGTTATGTCCACGTCGGCGTTGTTCATTGCTATGTGAAGAGCCTGATGAGTACTTGTCATGCCGTGATTTGCGACGACTGCGCTCTTTCTGCTGTGAACTGCTTCTTTTTTCTGTGCCTTCTGCAGACCGATGATTTTCCCCGCTCACACTAGATCGTGTGTGAACATTGGCTTCTTCAGATTTTTCAGCAGCCTGCTCAGTCTCCTCTTCTTCATCACTCCCATCATCCAAATCAGAAATGAGGATTGGTGATCGCTCAGCCCATGGTTTCTCATAACCAGTAATGACAACGTCACTGTCATCGTCTTCCTCATCATTGTCTTTCTCGCCATTGGCTTCACTTTCATTTGAATCAGAAGAACTGTCTATTTGTCTCCTTTTACTGGTTTCCGGCTTCAATGTAGATTCCGAAGCCGGGCAGGGTTCCGCCGTGGTTGATTCAGTTGTTGCGTTTGTTGTTTCAATAATGGACGATGGTAAGACACCAGATGGTCCTGGTTGGGGTGACTCCCAACCAGACATTGAGGTCTGTCCATTTGAAGTGCTGCTCTCGGCTTGGCTTTTATCTGAAGACTGTTTATCCCAAGACGATGATGTCATCACTATTTGCTGTGAAGGATGTCCAAGGCTTATTGAGACAGATATACTACTCTGATTACGAGAGGTGGTAGCAGTGGCAGTCGCAGTGGTAGTTTCCCTTGGAGAAAGCACGATTACATCGTCATCATCGTCATCACTCGATGAGGCATCACTGTTTGAGTCTACCAACTGTGTAAAAGGTACATACTGTGTGTTTTCATCATAGGAACGCATGTCAGGCATTGTTGACTTGGCAAAGTTTTCAAACTCGTGCATGAAGTGTGATGTGTTGCGACCAACAAATGGCAGTATATGCTGATAAAATTCCTCACTGCTAATTGGGTAACATTTGATGAGGTCAAGAATCAACTCCATCACAAACGGCACATGGCTCTCCTGGTGCCGCAAAAGGACATTCAGCTCACGTTCTAGCCAGGGTGCAAGTCGGTGAATCGCCGTCGGGTTCTTCTGGAGAAAATCTGGCTTTGTGTTGCGATAAAGATTTGAGCTCTTGTTCTTAACAATCTGCAGGTTGTTTCGATATACACTACGGCGAAACTCGAGTGAATGCCGGGAATACAGCAACTGATGGTGCTGTTGTTGCTGCTGTTGTTGTTGTTGCTGCTGTTGTAGTCTGCGTGAAGAATGACGGGTGGTCATATGAGACCGGGAGCCATAGATGCTGTCCTGATATTCTCCCCGACCTCTCGGATTCTGCAGGGCTAAGAGACGATCGACAGTAAGGGTCGTCCGGTAGCGAAAACGTCTCTCTTCAGGCATATCTTGCTTTTGGACATCATACTGGTCATAGTCGTCATATGATCGCACATTGTGGATAATGCTCTTAAATGGTTGTTTGCAAAGTGGACATTCCGTTTTGATCTTTGACCATTCAAGCAGGCATACAAAGCAGAACATATGAAAACAGCTGTCGGTGAACGACTTGTTTTCCAGCTTACTTAGGCAAATAGAACAGTTGGGCTCCGGTGACTGGCGCATAGAGGCCTCACTATCCTTGTCCTTTGCATCCATATTATCTTTGCCTTCCTCTCCTGCATTGCCATCGACTTGGTTTGTTGATGTCGTAGACACATCTGCATCTTTTTCTGTGCTAGCATCAAGAGGTGACCTCCTGCTGTCCGCGGTATTATTACTATCACTTGCGGCTGTTGCAGCTGAAGCAGAAGCTAGCAAAGAGGATTTTGTAGATTCTTTCTTGCCTTTTTTGCGTTCATGCCTTCCGTCATCCTTCTTTCGTTTCCTCTGTACTTTCTCCATTTTTTTTTTTTTTTTTTTTTAAATCCAAACCTGTGGAGAAAGATAAACATTATTACTATATGTTCATTGCTGTACACATAAAAACATTAACCCTTTGTAGAGTAGGAGAACTTTAATGTTTAAATAAAATGATCATTAATTTTCCATATAAAACCAGTTGATCTGTGCCATTACAAATGATGGCATATTTTCTTAAGTCCTTATTTATGATAATTAGTTTTTAATATGCATGTCTTTAAATATATATTTTTGAATTATTAAATTAATATGGTGGGGACTAGTTTAATATTTACAACATGAAAACCAATGCCCAATATTGCTAAGTGTCAGTATGGTCGAGTGGTCTAAAGCACCAGATTCAAGACTGTAACATACCCCTTACCAGGACAATAAGTGTTCTGGTTGTGTCAGTTTAATCCGATTCCGGACAATTTTTATAAGGAGGCACAGTGGAGTAATGGTTAGTGGTTTAGGTTAAGGAATCGAGTTTGAATTCCAGTAGAGTTTATTACTTTCACTTACATGCTAATATCCTTGGGAAAGGTATGAATCCATCTCTTCTCCCCCCAGCTATGGGTAAAATAGCAAGACAGACTGGGTTTTATAGATTTGGGTGGTAACTGGTCTAGAAGGAAAAACTCTGAAATCAAAATCAGCCTGGAGAGTGTTGAGTTCTGTCAGATTATCTTGCCCAGGATACACCATTGCTGCTACCATGGCTGCTACATGTGGTGCCCCTACAACCCTAAAGGGTGACAGGATCGTGTTGACGATGATAATCTTATATGAATACTAGTTTACCATAAAAATGATGGCATATTTTGTTAAGTCCTTACTATTATGAGATGATTACATTTTACCAATTATTATAGTTGGACTATTTATTTTTATGGAGTTGTCTTTACCTCCTGGTTTTATAAACTTTTCATGATACAAAATTTCTGAAATTAAAACACTTATTTTGTTGTGAACACTTCACAATTTGTAAAACAATATTTTTATTACTTCAACCATTATTTTTAGTGGATACCCATATTTTAAATAGACATTTTTTTTATTTTAAACAGTGTGTATTATATCTATGAGACTGTGCACTCAAGAAACCTCAACCCTATGTTAGCCACATGTGGTGTTTTGTTACCTCCCAATATTTTTAGTACCCATAATTCCTAGTTAGCAAATTGCTTCTTTTGCTCCCCCCCCTACTACTCTCCTGATTCACTGAGGGTGTGTAGCATGCAGTGTAGCTCAGTTGTTGTAGGAGGCAGATGTTGCTTTGTCTTCTTCGGAGTGTCCTGCCACTCTACCAGACTAATGAAGGTAAGTTTTCATGAGATTTTTTATATATATATATATATATATATATATATATATATATATAAATGAACATTGAAGTCAACACTTAGAGACGACAGTCTGTTTCATGCTAAATGCAATTGTCAGGCCACCCAATCCATTGCATCTAGACTGTCTCCTCCAAGTGTTGACTTCAATGTTCACTTTTATATTTACACACTCTATCTCTGATATTGAGCACTTTTATCCCATAAATATATATTAACCTTAAGACATATATATATATATATATATATATATATATATATATATATATATATATATATTTATTATAATGATTGTCTTTTATTGTCAAATATATTATGGCTAAAATATAAACATTTTTAAATTATATTACACAGAATTTTTTTCTCAAAACTATGATTGTACTTCCTCAGGCAATGGTAGGTAACTGGTTATAAAATAATTTCTTAGGGAAATTCTTAGGAAATACAATCATAGTATTGAAACATGTAAGGTTTTTATAGCGATTTAAAAATGTTTTTATTGTAATCTCTTATAATAAAAATATAAAAATAATATTTTGCTCTACTTTTTAAAAAAGTAAATGCTTTGAACTATGAATTTTTACTCCATTTGTTCTTTCTTTCATTTGTGTATATATATATATATATATATATATATATAGTACTCTTTCAGTCCTGCAGTTATGAATTTAGTTAATATCTTTCTATTCATGGAAATATATTGTGGCTATTTTTGATGAATAAAACTTTTTTTTTATTTATTAGACACATGACCTTATTTAAAATCCTACAATTTATCAAATATGTTTGATAGTCCTTGGTTTAAATTTATTTATAATTTTCATTTCAATGAATAATTATATCTTCAGTTCATGTGTTTTTAAGGTAATGTAAATCTGTTAGGTTTCAACTAGTACAATAGTTTCCCATAGAAAACAAAATAAGCATTTTGAATATAGGGCATATAAATTAAGTAAAATATCCATATTTATATTAAATACCAACAAAATGGGATATAAATTTTAACAATCATTTTATAGCAAAATGACCAAAAAATAAATTTTATCTATATTTGAAGGACACATACCATTGATTACTGATTCAAAATCTTTTATCCAGCAGTTGATTTTGGTATGATTAAACTAATCCAAGCCATCTGATCGGATGATTGGAAATTTTGAGGAATATGGTGCCACCTCTTAATTGCTGTTGTTCCCAGGTCCACCCTCACCTAGGGTGGTGGCACCTGTTAGGTTCCCAACTATAGACAAATAGTAGTTCCCCGACAAACAAAAACAAAATACTATGAATATATAAAAATACATTTTTATAGTAAAAATACCAGCAATACATTTTTATATTAAAAAATACCAACAATACATATTTATAGTAGAATTACTAACAATACATTTTATAGCAAAATGACCAAAAATATATTTTATTATTTTTTTTTTTTTAATTCAAAACCCATAGAGGTTGATATGCCACTAAACAAAATCAATCAACCTAGCATTTGAGTTCAGTCCCTGGGTTGAAGTAAAAAAAAAAATTATAAGAAAGAGGTTGTGTGGCATCACAATTTTTTTTTTTTTTTTTTTAATTAATGACGGAAGAATTAGAAAAGAAACCTTAATTGAGCAAGAGAGAAAAAAAGGGGGAAAGCAAAAAAAGCGATTGCATTTAAATTTTTTGCAGATTAAAGTTGGCTGGAAAGCATGAGGCCAGAAGGGGGTTCCACAAGCAAGAAGTGCAAGAAAAGAAACTGTTAGCATAGAACTTACGGCTACATCTAGCCAGCTCAACTGTCAATTGATGAAATCTTGATGCCACTCTAATATTGTGCTTAAATTCATAAAGTCTAGGTACCATAGCAAAGAGCTCACCTGAACAATTACCATGAAAGTATTTATAAATTAACCAGAAAGAATTAACTGAAAACAATTTATCATGGAGTGAACTAATGGTTCAGTTCAAAATTGTAAGAAGAATACTAAAACAGACAGACACATGTAAAAGGTTAAAAATTATCAAAATTTTCTGGCCATAACAATCAAGTTGAGAACAACTCGCTCAAGTATATCAGTGAATAATGATGACGGAAAATTTAACACAAAATGTCCTGTGAAACCACCTAGTATTAATTTCCAAGAATCTAATGTATTATCATTCCATTGGATTAAGAAAAGGTAGGTTAAGGAATTCCTAGATAGCTGTATTATTTTTTAATGTTCCTAGTGGTCACATGTAACAGAATGAAAGGAGGAGAGAGAGAAAAAGAAAATTATTTTTTTGCTTTTTGAGGGATGATTTAGTTTACATAAATAATAAAAGCAATAACACTATCATTAAGAATCTATTCTTTGGTCTGTACCTCCATATTTCATTACTAGAAATGACTTGAGGCATTTTCTGCTGCCTTCAGTTACCGATAAAACTTTCAATGTATCTTCTATTGTTTTTTGTTTTTCAAAGTTGAAGATTAATTGATTTGTTTTTTTTTTTTTACAGTTTATCAACCCTTTGTGGATTATTTAAAGCCAGAATATATTTTGGATTGCAGAAATAATACTTTTTTTTTGAGTAAATATTTCATTAACAATTTTTTGCGAATAACATTGATTTTTCCAGATACAAATCTTACTATTTAACCCATAGCTGGGGGATGACATGAATTCATACCTTCCCCGAGGGTATTTGCATGATTGTGAGTGTAATGAAGCCAACGAGTTTTTTTAAGGAGAGAAAAAAAATTGCATATTGTTAATGAGATAGATAAGATTTTTGTTGAAATTTATTTATTTATTTTTTTTAAACTACCAAAGGGGCCACTGCTTATTTCTGGGCTGAAACATTATGAAGATAAAAACAGCCAAGATGAAGACAACAGTCTAAATGAATTAGTGTATAACATATCTGAGGAGCCTTGTTTGATCTCCTGGTCAGATTTTGGGAAAGTGCATCAGGCAAAGAACTTTTCAGCACCCTCTTGTAAGTTTCATTAAAAAGTACATTGAGACTGATATAGTCCTATTGTCCTCATCTGACTGTTGTGCCCTCTGGCCTTCATCAGGTGCATATGGATCTGGGTAACCTACAGAGAATTCTGAAATGAATCCTTTATTTAATCTACAGGGGTAAACTGTTCTCATTCCACTGTCAAAAGGGATATCCCATCCAGTTCTTATTCTTAGCACTGCTCAGCAGTTATTGTTTGTCCTATTTCCACAGAGTTCAAGAGTCCACAACGACCAAGACGTTGTGATAACAACAAAGGTAGGGATAAATGTGAATGTAAATAGGGTAAATAATGGAAACTCTTTATCCCAGAAATTTAGACTGATTTTAATTTTTTCAAGATTAGTCTGTACAAATGAGCACTCTGTTAGAAGCATGTTCACTTCTTCATCAAATCTAAATCAAATTCAATAACATATAGACACACACACGGTGACCCATAATGGGAGATATTTTAAATGCAAATATCTTGGATTATAAAAATGATATAGAATATCAAATATATTTATAACATACAATGATATACAATGGTTCAACATATTATCTATGATTTTGCTATGGATATCTATTTCTCTTAGTTTTTAAACAAAATTTTGAAAAAGGATAATTTTTTGAGATTAACCTATTTTTATTTTCTTTTTACATTTTATATTTTTTTTAACT